CATAACCCAATTTACAAATGGGCACAGGACATGAACAGACACTTCACCAAGGAAGACATTCAGGCAGTCAACAAACACATGAAGAAGTGTTCACGACCATTAGTCATTGGAGAGATGCAAATCAAACAAAGAGCTACCATCTCACACCAGCAGTAACAGTGAAGCTCAGGAAAGCCGAGGACAACAAATGCTGGCAAGGGTGGGGCTGTAAAATGGTTCAACCACTCGGTATGGCACTACCTCAGAAAGTTGGAAATAGAAATATCTTCTGATCTACAAATTCTTCTAACTGGTATATATCCACAAGAAATATGAGCCAGAACATGAGTAGACATATGCACACCAATGTTCATCGCAGCACTATTCACAATAGCAAAAAGATGGAGACAGCCTAAGTGCCCATCAATGGCAGAATGGATAAACAAACTCTGGTACATACACACAATGGAATATTATGGTACCTTGAAGAATACCAAGGAAGCTGCAAAACACCTCATAACATGGATGAACCCTGAGGACACTATGCTGAGTGAAATTAGTCAGTCACAAAAGGACAAATATTACATAAGGCCATTATTGGAAAAGCTTAAGAAAAGATTTCCATACTAAAAGAAAAATTATTTGATGGTTACCCAGGGTGGGAAGGAGGGGACAGTAATTAACGGGTCGAGAACTACCACATTATAGCCTGGGTGACTGGGAGGGCAGTACACACAAAGGGGAAAGGAGGGTAGAGGAACAAGGAAGATAGGGGAAGACTTAGGGATGTACGCATGGGCTAAACGGGATAGAAGTAAATAGTGATGTGGCCACAACCTTGGAATAATAGGGCTCTCTGACACAGGGATCCAGACATAGTCAGAATGGGTAAAGGGGGGGAAATAATGTTAGGGTGCCTGACTGTCTTTTGGAAGTTGGTTCCCCCTGCCTCTAAAATAGACATATAATTGGGATGTTGTTGTTAAGTGCCGTCGAGTCGGTTCCGACCCATAGTGACCCTGTACAAGGTTTCCGAGGGTGTAAATCTTTACGGGAGTAGAAAGCCTCATCTTTCTCCCGCGGAGCAGCTGGTAGTTTCGAACTGCTGACCTTCAGGTTCGCAGCCCAATTCGTAACCACTACGCTACAGAATATTGGGAAATATGATTACAGAAAGCTTGTATGCCCATCTTCAGCCAGTAACTGACTGGATTAGCTAAAAGGGGTACTGAATTTGCTTAGGGAAATAGCTTTCTTGTTAACCCTTTGTGGAGTAGGGGGTTTTAAGTGGTAGAATCCTGAACCTCCTCACCCAGAACCTTCTGAGGTGGGACACTCCCACCGACTTGAAAAGACATGCAGACCAAGTGAGAACAGTTAGAGGAACAGAGGCTACTGCTCGAAAGAAAGACCACCCAGCCAAAAAGCAGCAGACTGGCTGTTAGATAGATAACACCAGGCAAGCTGTCTGCCTTGGAGCCATAAGGCAAGACAAGAAGAGTCAGCCCATCAGGGAAACTCGACGGGAATCCATGGTAAGTCCAGGATGCGCGCTGAGACCACCCTGGTCTACCTGTGAATGAACGTGACAGAAATGCAGCAGTGAAGACGTGAGCTGAGTTTGGTCCAGGCTCTTCTGGATGGCAGTGATGGCCTCTCCGTTCTCTCTGGATGGCTGCTTATATAGACAAGTGGCTCAATCTTATCCGGCTTTTTATGTACCCTATTAGCATAAAATTAAAGGTTTATTCCAGAAGAGGACATGGAATAAGTGGTATTATTGCTGATATCAGATAGATCTTGGCAGAAAGCAGAGAATACCAGCAAGATGTTTTCTTGTGCTTTATTGACTATGCAAAGGCATTTGACTGTGTGGCTCATGACAAGCTATGGATACTAAAGAATGAGTATTCCAGAACACTAAGCTACGGAGACCAAGAGGCACTCATTTGAACAGAACAGAACAAGAGTAATAAAATCAAGGAAGGTGTGCGCCAGGGTTGGATCCTTTCACCACACTTAGTCAATCTGTATGCTGAGCAAATAATCTGAGCAGCTGAATTATATGAAGAACATGGCATCAGGATTGGAGGAAGACTCATTAATAACCGGTGATATATAAATAATACAAGCTTGCTTAATGATGAAGTTCTTCATTATGGGTTGCACCTCAATGAAAAGAAAACAAAAGTCCTCACCACTGGACCAATAAATAGCATCATAGTAAATGGAGAAAAGATGGAAGTTGTCCAAGACTTCATTTTGCTTGGATCAACGTTCTTGGAAGCAGCAAACAAGATATCAAACAATTTATTAAATTAGGCAATTACGCTGCACAAGACCTCTTTTAAAGTGCAAAGATGTCAGTTAAAGGACTAAGGTACACCTGACTCAAGTCCTGGTATTTTCAGTTACCTCATGTGCATGTGAAAGCTGGACAGTGAATAAGGAAGACCAGAAAACTCACGGAGGCATTTGAATGACGGTGCTGGAAAAGTGCTGACAAAACCATGAACTGGCGCCGAGCACCAACAGATCTTGTAAGAAGTACAGTGGTAATGCTCCTTGGAGGAGAGGACGGCCAGACTGAACCGCTTGTACTTTGGACATGTTGTCATGAGGGATCAGTCCCTGGAGAAGGACACTGTGCTTGGTAAAGTTGAAGGGTCAGAGAAAACGAGGAAGCTCCCCCAACCAGATGGACTGACAGAGCGACAGCAACAATGAGCTCAAACGTGACAACTGCAAAGCTGGGGCAGGCCGCACGCCTCACTGGACTAAACTGACCAATCCCCTCCAGCGAGGCGCCATCTACTTGTGCAGTAACACACGGATCGTTTACCTGCAGGCACTAGCTTCTTCCCAGAAGGAGCAGGCCAACTGGAACAGTCCCGCCAGGGAAAACCTGCTGCTCTTTTCTGTTCCTCCCTCTTTCAGAGAACCAAGGCAAAAGGTCAAGTAACTAGACTCATTCCACCAGAAAAGCACCTACTGGCTTCTTTTCTAAATGGAGACCCAGGAATGGGGCATCTGAACATGAGAAATGGGTGCCTACAGGGATGGGCAGGTGCAGCCCAGATGTACACAGGAGCCAGTGGTCCTTCTTAGAATAAACCACTTAGCACAGCTTTGACCTTTGGAAGCTAACATTCAAAACAAAAACAAAATTAAATCAGCAAAGATGAAAGGCAGAGAAACAACTCAAATGGAACCCAACAGTATTTTATTTTATTCATCTTTGTTGTTGAATCTACACACAGCCAAACACACACCAACTCCGCCATCTCTACCTGGACTGTTCATGATGTTCTTCCAGTAGAATGACCGCTCCCACCCTCCTTATCTGAGCGGTTCCCCCTCTAGTAACACCAACTCAGTGCCCCCCCCCCCCAAGCTTCCTATCTAGACGTCTGAGTGGCTGTTGACCCCATATATAGAGAGAGTGTTTGATCCCACAGAGATCTTAAAAGAGCATAACGCTCAAGGTAGACATTGCTTACTAACTAAACTATCGTTTGGTATTAAGAAGTCTTCGGGGATATCTTTGGTTTCATGTTTAAGGATTATCTCAGGGCAACAGTATCAGGGGTTCATCCATCCTCCAAAAGTCTGGAGTCCCTGAGAATTTGGAAGTTCTGTTGTGCATTTTCTCCCTTTGGCTCAGGGTTCTACAGAGTCTTTGATGACAGTGTTCAATAATGGTAGCTGGGTACCACTCAGTCCTTGTCTCATGGAGGCAATTAGCTACACATTCTCTTTCCTCCCATTCCTGACTCTCCCTCTCTCTGCCTCTACTGTCCCAGGTGAAGAGAAACAAATTGTACTTTGAATGGCCACTTGCAAACTTTTAAGATCCCATACACTACTCAGGGAACTAGGAGCCAGAATAGAAGCACTAGACACATTATGAGACCAATTAACTGGGTGGTACAATGAAACCATGATGCTAAACCTCAAATTAAGGAACCAAATCCTGTGTGTGTACATATGTGTGCAGATACACATGGGCATGTGCACTCACTACGTGAGCACATACATGCACACACGCGCCACCCGCTAAACGGGCCAAGAAGCAAGCACACTCAGGCATGTATGAAACATGTGGGCAAGCATGCCAGTCCATCCCTGTTCCCCATAGGAAGCACACAGATGATGAGGCTGGGACAGCAGCTGCAGGCTCTCAGGGTCCTGTCTAGAGTGACGTGACGGAAGTGTGGGCACCAGGACAGCCCACCTAGAGCACCAAGGCACGAACACGTCTCCACAGACAGTGAATGAGTATGTGAAGGAAAGCAGGCAGTGGTCTGTATTTTTGGTCATTTTCCTGTTTCTTTTTGTTCCTGTAAAACATGTATCACACAACATTTGGAGGGCAGGGCCACCCCAACACAGACTGCATCGCATGAAAAGCAATGATCATCAAAGCTGATGAGATGTGTGCGTGACCCACCGATGGCTGATGGGGGTTGGTGGGTGGGGTGGGGACAGAACTAGAGCCAAAGCAGAGGGATCACCCAAGAGGAAGAGCAGGGGTGAGACCCTCCCGAGGAATCTGGCTCAGGCATGTCTTGTTATGATCACCACAATGCTGAAACATGTCAGAGACGACAAAGGCAACTCTGGAAGGCTCATGGCAGGTGCCAACTACGTGTGGCAGTCCCAGCATACACCGGGCCTCCAGAGCTGGGAAGGAGGGTGCTCAGGGGAGGCAGGCGTCTGCTCATCACACCACTCGCATCTGCCTAACTTTTCTACAAGGCAGAATGATTTCCCAATAAAAGGCTAAAAATTACATAAGAAGCAAGAGCCACGACCAGCAGGACTGCATGCTTCTAGGCTGCAGTGAGTGTGGGGGGGAGGTTCCTGAGTCAGGCATCCCTGGGGGGCACAGAGGCCCGCCTTCCTGAAACACCCCCGTGAAAAGGAGTGGCCCGGCACATCATGATGCAGCGTGCCAACGCACCCCTACCCCAGCAGCCCCAGTGCGCAGTGTCCCAGCAGCCATGGCGCTTGTGTCTTACCTGGTGCTCGACCCAGACAGCCTGGACTCCTGCGTGTCGGCATTATGGCTGCTGCATTCGAAGTCCTGTGTCTGAGACATTGCAGTCTGTTGTTTCAGAACCGAGGGGCCAAATGGACACACGGTGTCAGTGGGTCACCGGGGCATCTCCAACCTCAGACAGGTGGTGCTGCGCTGGGGACAGGAGAAGACTGTGAGCAGCATGCTGGTGGTACAAAAGGCCAGAAAACCTCACAGTACACCTCTGGGTTTCAGGGACCCAGTAATCCCAGCCCTTCACTGGCCAAACGCGCTGGCTGGAGGAAAGAAAGGCCTCCAGGGCCAGGCCCTGTGCACGAAGGTGCTCAGTGTGCCAAGCCCCTGACTCACTGATCCACCGGGAGCCGCTGATGTGAGTGGGAGAACCTGCTTGCCCAGCTTCCTGGCAGTGGCCACAGCTCCCGCCCCAGCCCAGGACACTCAGGCACCCATCTGCACAGCCTGCCGGAAGGCCACCTGACCACATCTCCATGGGGGAGGTGGGGTTCTGCTAGTTTCAAACAGGAAACCCCACCTGAGACTTGGGTCCTCCCTTGTCTCGAGCACAGGGCAGACAGCACAGACATCCGCAGAGCTGCAGGTACCACTGCATGTCCAGGTCCTGCAGGGCCCAGCGGATCCACACAAAGGACAGAAAAGACAATGATGCCAAATGGTAATAGGGGAATGGCCACACACACTGCTGGCTGTCCCTGTCCAGTGATGGAGTGCAAGCCACACATACCAGGACACACCATGTCCACAGTGGCTAAGCCTAGGCAAGTGCTAGAAGCAGACGGGCACAGGGCTGCCCTGGAGCTTGGAGGAAGACAGACGCCAAGGAATACACTAACTCGATTCCCTGAGAATGTCCTGGTCCACACCAGGCAAGGTGGACATCTGGGCAGGGACGGGAGGCTCACAGCCTGTGCGCTCCATCTCTCACCTTCGAAGCATAGGTGTGGAGGGAAGGTGGGGTCTCATCCTGGCTCCAGCAACAGCTACAGCCTGAATGGAGGTCAGTGTGGCCCATGGGAGACTTTCTCTAGGTCCCAGGAAGAACCAGAACTTGGCTCACGCCTTGTTCTGGGAGTTGAGGAACCTTTGCCTTCCTGCCACTGAGATGGCCAACTGGACAGAACCAACTGTGGAGAGCTACCAGGAAAGCCATTTTCAAACAGGAAATGCAAGACAATTTCTAGTTGTCTGAGAACAAACAGGTGACCCTGAAAGACTTCAACACTCTTTTAAGTCAACACAGAGTACTGTTAAGGTAATTCTGAAGGGAAAAGACAAACCCACAAAAAACTAACTAAAGGCATTTGAGTTATGGTGTTGGAGAAGAATTTTTAAAGTACCATGGACTGCCAGAAGAACAAATAAATCTGTTAGAAGAAGTACAGCCACAGTACTCCTGTACTCCTTAGAGAAACCAGTATGGTGAAACTTTAGTCTCGTCTGACATGTGATCAGGAGGCCAGTCCCTGGAGAAGAACATCATGCTTGAAAAAGTGAAGAGTCAGAGAAAAAGAGGAAGACCACCACCCCCAATAAAATGGATTGGTACAGTGACAGCAGCAATGAGTTCAAACGTAACAATTGTGAGGATAGAGTAGGACCAGGTTGGCTTTCGTTCTGTCGTGCAGAGTCGCTATGAGTCAGAACTGACTCCATGGCACCTAAGAACAACACAGGCAAACTACTATCACTCAATGTCTTGAGCCAACCACCTGCCTGTGGGTTTCTTTTCAATCCCTGCTCACTTTTCATGCTGGACCAGGGCACATGGTCACCCTGCTATCCCTGCAGACTCACCTAGCACCAGTCTGAGGTGGGCTGGCACACGCTGAGCCTGTATGTCCCTGACATTAGGTAGTGCTGGCCCTACTGGGCCGACAACCCTGTTCTTCTCTTCTGAAGTGTTTCAGAATCAGCTACTCAGTTTCTACCGACTAGCCAGCTGGCATTTTGATTGGGGTTGTGTTGAATCTATAGATCAGTCTGAGGTAAGTCAACATTTTAATAATATTGAGAATTTTAATCCATGAACATGCGTTAATACTGACTCATGGGTCACATGTACTACACTAATGTAGATGTCAACAACAGAACAGACTGTACCGTCACATTTTTTAAAAAATCTAAAACTGTCCTAAGACAGTGAAACCTGTGAGAACTGAAATTCGACAGGACTGCCCTGCTGTTTCTGGATCTTGAATAATTTCCCCGTTTGACAAGACCCAGCCACCACCTTCCTATCTAGTGTTGTTGGTAAGTGCCACCCAGCCAGCTCTGACTCATAGCCACCCTGTAGGAGGTAACCCTACAGCACCACACTATACAATGGTGATTTCTACCTTACATAGGTCCTGGTTTCGCAGATCTACTGTATAAAATTAATTTAGGAAACAAGATTCTTGTTTCTGGAAAGTAGCTAATGAAATGACTCTGATAATTGTCCTTCCCAGTCATTTAGAAATGACACATCATCATATACTATGCTGAATAAATACTCCAAAAGAACCAACAGATCCGTGTTGGAAGAAGTGCAGCCAGAGTGCTCCTTGGAGGCCAGGATGGCTAGACTTTGTCTCTCATACCTCGGACACATATCACGAGGGGACCTATTCACTGGGAGCGATATTCTGTTTGGTAAGGTGGAGGGTCAGAGACAAAGAGGAAGACCCCCAGCGAGATGGACTGGCAAAGTGGCAGGATCAATGGGCTCAAGCGTGGCAACAACTGTGAGGTTTTGGTTTGTCCTGTTGTGCACAGGGTCGCTGTGAGTCGGTACCGACTCGATGGCACCTAACAACAAGAAGAGCATTCTGGGATTCTCTTGTCTTCATCATTCTACTTTGTCAAATTTTTAGAACCGTCCAGGTTTATTAGATGAGTTTAAAACCGAAGTCTCTACCTGTATACACTCACACACAATCTTACTCATATTTTGAATGGAACCATGTTTAATATACTCAATCATTTAGAAAGAGTGGGCACTGGGCACAATGCAGTCTTCCGTCCAGTAACATGGTGTATTTCTCTAGCCACTGACACTTCCATCCTACGCAACCTACACTTTTTTTAGAGTTATCCCTCATTTTATTTTGTTGTTCCTACAATTGTTTTAAAGGATTTTTAAAGTTTTTTTTGTTTCTAACATTGTAGTTATTGGATTTTATACACTGTATTTACTTTTTGCTTGACTTACTATTTTTCTAATAACGGTATTAGAAATTCTCAGATATACAGCCATTATTTCTATTTCAGATCTAACTGCAATGACAAAGCTTTCAGAAAGGTGCTAAAGAACCACATTTTTCAGACAAAAATGTCTAGTCTTGCTTATTCTGTTTTATTAACTGTAGACATTTACCTGTCGAGTTTTTAAAGGATGAGGAGGACAGTAGTGGATCTATATTTCCACGCTCCTTTTAACACAGACTTACTTTCAGATTCACTTTACATGACCACAGTGCACATCCACAGCTCTCAGCCCACATGCAGCCCGAGCACACTCGGGTCGATGCCATCTTTTGGCGGGACAGGCTCCTGGTGGAGTTCTTTCGGAATGCTCATTTCGTTCCCCAGTGGAACGTCCAAAGTGCCCTCCGGCCTCCAGACGACAATCTCTGACCCTGAGGACTCTGCAGACATGCCAAGGGCAGGATGGGTTGGAGCTGGACAAGGCCTGACACTTGAGTCCTCACTGTCGGGCCTGCGAGATTCATTCCAGCCCACATCTCTCAACACTGCTTCTGTTCTGTGCTGCCGGACACAAGGTCTCCTAGCAGGCCCTCCCACTTGGCCTCTTCTCACTGTTTTTGCCCCTTTTCCTGATTTCTACAAGCAGCCTGTTTTCCAGGTAACCCCAGTTCTCACCAGTGCTGATGGTGCTTCAACTAGTAAATTGTTTTAGTATCTTCAATTTCTTTTCTCAGTTTTGTAGTTCATTTTTTTATCTTCTGTTACCCTGTGTCTCCTCTGAGTTCTTTTCGTCCCTTCATTCATTTTTCATTTGGTAACTTCTAGTACACGCAGGTTAGTTAAAATATCCTTCTGTATCCTGGGTTAATCTAAATACATTTCTTTCTCATCAGCTGGTTAACCGCGCTCTTTGCCCTTATCCTTCTTTAATGTCTACAAGAGGGTTTGTAGTAGCTGCTGGCTAACACCAATTTTAAATCCAGGACACAACGGGGCTGAGGCAGCCTCACATCAGCTGTTCTAGAATGCCCTATTGCCAGCTTTTTATTAGCTCTGCTCTGGAAGATTTATGGTATCTGGACATGTACGGTTGCAAGTGACAAACATCCAACTTGAAATGCAGAGAGAAGAGACTGACTTGCAGACACAGGAAGCTACCAGCTCATCACCCCTGGGGCCCACCCTGCTCTGGGGGGCTGCACTTTCCACACCCACCTCCGTGTACAACATAAGATACAAAACCCACTGATGAGCAACCCCACTCCCCACCCCATCCCCACCACCAAGACGCCCCTTCCCAGGAGCTCCAGCAGGAAAGCCTAGTGGACGTTCTGGGCAGTCTTGTGGCTCGTGGGAGGGGAGGTTCACAGACTGCGGAGTGAAGGCTCCCCATCAGGAGGCCCCACCAGTGGCCGGGATCAAGGCCCCTCAGCATCCATCAGGTGGGTGGGCTCGAAGGCACCTGTGGGCCCAGGTCCAGGTGTGGTGGCTATTAATCTCTTCCCTTCTCTCCACCTCACCCTCAGCCATCCTCACCTGCGCCCCCAGAACACCGGGCTTGTCAAGATGCCTACAGATCTTCTCTCTAAGCAAAGCATGGCGCTGGTGAGACATTACTGCAGCTTCTGCACCTGCATCCTGAGATCCAAAGCAGAGTGCCTGGCTCCCGAGCCCTCGCTCTTTCTGTCCAGTTTCGTGTCAGGGAGGAAAGGAGAACCAACAAATCTCCCTCAGCCATCACTTCCGGAAGGCTCCACTCTCCGTACTACCTCAAGAAGCGCATTTCCCAACAACGGCCGTGTCTCAGTTTCAGGCTCTGAAAGGGCTCTGTGAGCTGGGAACACAATGCCCCATTC